AAAACTGTGTACACAAATATTTCCTACTTAAACAATTGGATTTTAATTATGAATGAATTTCCATTTTTATTCGTAGAAACAGGCAATTTTCTATCATAAAAGCACATTCAACATCCCAGAATAATTTTTTATACATAGTATCGTAGATGAATTTTGCACTGCATCTCAAAAGAATTTTATCAATGATGCTCCTAGTAAGTTCCAAGTAGAACACGAGAATGATATTTTAAATGCTGCCACTCTCAATAGTTAAACTTTCAGTCTACTCCACACAGATAACTCCTTGAATTTAACATGCTGTAACTACTTTTCTATTTTGTACAATAGTTAAAATGCTTGAATCCTCGATAGCCATAATATTCATGAATTTTTCATCAGTTTACCATAACCCTATACATTTAAGGTATCCGACTACGTTCGGAACCGAGATTTTAAAAAAGCGCATAAACGGATAATTTTCATGATATTAACGTCACTTAGATTAGAATACATGTATAAAATTGTTTTAAGGACATTATGACAAAACAATATAATTTATATACAATATTTCGGCAAAAAATTAACTTAGAATAACCTCTTTTCAAAATGTTCTCCTTTTTTGAAAAATGCTTCTATTATAGTAATATTTTGCCTGTCTATAGCTCTGACCTTTGTACAGAGGCTCCACTATGATGTTTGAAAAATTCACATTATTTTCAGAGTTACAACCATTTGAAATAATGTTCGGCGTATTTTCTTAAAATTTCTCCCTTCTGTTTTCGTAAAACATGGATAAACCGACTTCCAAGTTATGCACTTCAAAAATTCTAGTTGAGCCCCCGGACAGAAGGTTGGAGCTGAATACAGGCAAAATATTAATACAATAGAAGCATTTTTAAAAAGGAGAACATTTGAAAAAGGTTATTCTAAGTTAATTGCCAAAATTGTATTTAAATAATTTGTTTTTGTCATAATGTCCGTAACATTTTATACTGATTCTATCTAAGTGACACTAAATATCATAAATATTATCCATTTACACACTTTTGCAAAATCACGGTTCTGAACGTAGTCGGATACCTTAAGGGATGGGACAACTGGTCCCCGATACAGGGCCTCGGCCCCATCGGGAGTATCGTCTTGTTCTCTGCTTTAATAACATTTAGATTCGCATAATTTCAAAGATCAAAAGTTATTTCCGGTTGTATGAATCGAAAAACTGGGAATTTCGGACTATGTGTCAACTGGCAACAGTAGGAAGACTGTATTATTACGTTATGACCGTCGTCCATGTATAGGTCTAGACTTCCACCCTGCACCATCACAGTGCTATGTACCACCTACTTTAAGGGTCATAAGTGAGGCCTCCATTTGCGTAGAGACCTAGGACTACTTTTACGTAGGGGCCCAATGCCCTTACAAGTCTTAAGATGTCCTTGATCCTATTATATTTAAGGAAATCAGATAAAAAGTAACAATTGGGCTTCTTCAGTAATGCTTAAAGACTGGGACAACAGTAGTTTCGAATGAAACTTTTTTATTCATTTATCTGGGTATTTTTTCTTTCGCCGTTTCTTAACTGGTTTGCCCATTCAGCGTACGGGCACTGATATTTTTCTATCTTTGATTTGCACATATTTTTCATTTTTATTGTGAGATTATTAGTGCTACTGTGTTTTTGAAGAGACGCAATTTGTCCATGGTTCTCAACCGGGATTTTCTTTGTGGTGAAGGCGGAATTTTTTTTCATCGAAGACGGGATTTAGATTCTTGTTAATATTCGATAAAGTACGAGGATTGTCAAGACAATGTGCAAATTATTGTTCGAGAAGTAATGAAAGTGGAAAGATAATCCAAAAAAGCCGATATTATCTCTGTCTATGTTATATTTCCTTGTTCCTTATTTCCATGGGTCAGTTAGGACGATTGATATTTTTATCTTAAACCAGTAATTAGTTCATTTTTTAGTTGTTTGCTTTATTGGACGACACACATAGAAGACATTTACACAGCAAAGACCATTACGTAACTGATTGGAACATTACTTTCAGATGACTTGTGGGGCCATTTATATTTTACATTTAATTTTGTAACAACAGTCCTCATTGTAATGTAAGACTCACTAACATAGCTAGTTCTGAGTCGGACTTGTATAAAAATTCTCCGGGCTGCTTTTAAGATATGAAACCCTGTTAGTGTGACTGTAACACATGTTGTGGCTCCAGTAGCTGAGGAATTCCATATCATTGATACGGCGGTAGCTAAGCCCCTGGTAAGACTTAGTATTACACCACGCTTCAGATTTTGTGTGTGAATATATATATATATATCTGAAACATTTTTTCATAGAATGCAGAGTGCAATTGTAAAAAGAAAACTTTTAGGGTTTTTTGTGTTTCACAATTTTAAAGTAAACATTAGGTTCAAAACTTTACAACTAAAATTTAAAGTAAAATTCTTCCATTTTTGCATTCTATTAAGTATTATGCTTTGTTATATACAATAAATACCATACTTGGAAAATTTTGGGCAAAAAAACTGAACACTAAAGGGATTAATAGCAATATGTAATAAATATTACAAATTGACATATGTAAATATCATTTCAGAGTTTATTTTTGGTTGATGTTTTTTATTTATTATTTGTGTGCAGGAGTTAATTTTTCCATTGGACAAATCATTGAACGTAGCAGTTTTGAGCAGGAGGTCGAATGCTTCGACCCTTGCAACACGTGTGATGAAAAAGTGTCCGAAAAGGTTTGCATACCAGGACGTGCAAATTGTGATTGCATTCCAGGGTATACAGGAAACCATCAAGGAAAGTGCATTCCTAAGACACAGTGTAAAGATAAGCAAAAAATAAATTTGTTCCGTATTAAAAGTGATTGAAATACGATGTGGTACTAAGCATGTTATCACCAAGGCTTGAAGTTCGACCATTTCACATATTGGTCCAACGGTATGGACTATTTTACGTGTCTATTGTGTTTTTCTACTTTAGCAAGCTGCAAAGTTGCCTTACATACTAGGGATGACGATTCTTTCCGAAAAAGATTGATTTTTAAATCGATTCGAATCGTAACCTGATGAATCGATTCACAAAAAAATCGAGGTATAAAAAATCTAAAAAAATTTAAAATTTTTTAGTTTCTAAAAAATTTTAAATTTCTAAAAAATTTTAAATTTCTAAAAAATTGATTTTTTCAATTTCTACTATTAGCTCGTACTGTCTATATATTTATTTATTTATATATTTGTATATTTATTTATTTATCTTGGTGGAATTTTCAATCGTTAATAAAATACATTTTAAAGCACTGAATTGAGCTGAAATTTTATATACAGGATCATTTTGGATGACAATACAATAATTTAATTATAATTAATAAAGTTAATTGATTAAAACTAATTATTTAAAAATTACAAATACAGCCACGTTGGCGACTTAGCGACCCTTTTGGCGACTTGTGTCAAAACTTGAAAAGGTTTTTTCTCACGTGTTAAAGCATTCATTTGGACTGAAATTAAAAGGACAATACGATACTTTAATGATAATTAAAAAAAACTAATTACCACTTAATGTTGTGATTCTGTCCTATGTATATACATATTTATATTAATTGTAACTATTTAATAAAAAGTAGCTAAAATAAAATTTTTCATTGTTGATCTAAGTCGGAATTGACTTAAAAACTATTTTTTGTTATATTACTTGTTGTGGAAGAGGACGTTAAAATCAATCAAAAAGTTTACCGGAGTATTGAAGCTGTTGTACTTCCGTGGGACAGAAAGCATTTCGGAAATTCAAATTGGACACTTCAACAAGACTGTGTACCAGTTTGCAAAGCCAAAAAGGCATTAGAGTGGTTCAAGGCGAATTTCCCAGACATGATATCTCTGAAAAATGACCACCTAATCGCCGACTCTCAATCCTATGGATTACAGTTTATGGTCCATTTTAGAGTTTAGGGTCTGTATTAAACCGCACGAAACTTAGGACCCTCTAAAGAAATCACTTCTGCGGGAATGGGGTATATTAAAGGGGTACTTGAGATTCTCATTGTTAAAATTTCTACAAGAGTTTGCACAACTGCATTGCTGGAAACGGCGGTCACTTTGAAACTTATTTATTAGTACGAGTGTACTCTTATTATTATTTGTTATATTTTGTTAATTTCTTAATTTTTTATAAAGTTATATAAAAAATTGTTTGCCTGGGTTTTTTAGCCGCACCCTGTATATTCGCGTATTTATACAGTAACCAAATTACATCAAATTATGTGTATTAATATTAAGCTTAATTTTATATATTTTTGTTTAAAAGTACTTGGACTCTAAACTATTGTTAAATACTCTATTCTGATGAGTTTACCCTTTCGTTCGATTAGGAACGTTTTGCTGACGCATTATGTAACTTGCATGCCATAAACAAAACATTGTCTCGATTAAATATTTGAGCTAGTATTACTGCTGATTTTCGTCTGTTGTATTAAAAAATTCCATGGGGTGTACTTCACTTATCATTACTAGTCTGGCTTAACCATGGGACAGATGAACATTTTATGCATCTGCAGTCTTATATTACTCATAGGTAAGTCTTGTGCCAGTTATAAAAATAGAAAAGTATCAAAAATGATCATGATGTGTGTTTGAAGATATCTTACCTTACATCTTGCTTTGTTAAATTTATTTGTAAAAATAAGTTATTATCTTTAAGTAAAATTCATCCAGTAATATAAAAAAATGTTTTAATTCAATTCCTACTTAGGTCAACAAAGAAAAATTTTATTTTAGTTAATTTTTATTAAATGATTACAATTTATATATATATACGTATATAACATAATCACACTATTAAGTAACAAAATAGAAAGCGATTTTCCTTGCAGTTTTCCATTTTTCATTCTATATATGGTATTGGACTGTTTTTCTTGTTTTGTTACTATCTATATTCATTAATTAAATTTAATTATTCTAATAAAATGCTACAGCAAAAAAAATCACATCCTCAGAAATTGGGCCATTCCAGGTGGGATTCGAACCCACGACCTTCGGATTAGAAATCCAACGCGCTCGCCACTGCGCTGCAGGGACGTAGCGAGCGATTTTCCTTTTATATATGGTTTTGGACTATTATTTTTGTTTTACTATTTATTCATTAATTAATTTTAATTAATGAATTAATATTTGAAAAAGCTGTATTAATATCAAATGTTATCCACTATAAGTTTAAAAAACTGTATATGATTTTGAGTGGATGAATAAAAAGTATTTTTTTAATGACTGAAAATTTGGACAAGATATATATATATATATATATATATATATATATATTACGCACTTCCGTGTCTCCGTTAATCTTATCGTTCGTAATTCAAAATAAATGGGAATTGTAGCATAAAATGATGAAAACGATTTTCAATATCTCATTACTTACTAAGAGTACAAAACCAGGCAACTTTTCTTGAACTTAAATAAACCATTACAACTGCTGATACGTGTGGTCAAAAGAATCGCGCGTTTACTTAAAAGTAAAATAAAGCTAATTCTAGTTTTCAATAATATGTCGTCAAGAATCATCAAAAAGGCTTTATCACATGTACATGTATTTGGAGCAATTTTTCTTTCAACTAGCCATTTCGAGCAATTTTTACTCAGTTGCCACAGCAACGGCTTCGAACAACTTCTTGCTAGTGAGCTGAAAAAATTGTTCATTATTAAAATTGCTCCATATTTTAGCCAACGAGGTTCTTCGTCTACTAAGCGAAAACAAGATGGCAGCCTCATCTTCGTCAAGCGCAGTATCAGAAATGTATGTATTATAATGGAACGAAATGAGGGAGAGCGCTTTGATTGATGAAAAATTTCTATACCTATGGAATCCTAAAAACTCCTATTTCGTAAATGGAATTTTTTTTAAAAAAAAATTAGCGAGCGTGCAGCGGCGCTAGCGGTGAGTAATTTTTCAATGTGGAGATACAGCGCGGCTGGTATCAGAGCATGTCGTTTTGTTTATGGGCAACCCTTCTCCCTCCTTCAAAAAATTGGGCGAAACGGTTGCTCGAAAAATGCGCATGTGATAAGACCTTAAGCAAATTCATAGTTGGAATCCACATATAGTTCTAAATGCCTTTCGGCAGCACAACTATATCAAAAATATGTTAAGCTAAGATTTTTCCCCCCAATGAGAAAAGCCCGATACTATGCCTATATAGTATATGAATAAAATAAGTGATACAAAAGATTGGAGACTAACAGAGTTTTCAATAATTTGAAATATTGAGCAATCAATATATATATATATATATATATATATATATATATATATATATATATATATATATATATAATAGCTGTTGTGTGCGTGCGTTACTCAAATCTTTAATGATAGGGATTGAATTTAATATATTTATCATTTCTTATTAATATAAGTATTTTTAAGTCATTCAACAGATAAGCATCTGCTAAAAATAGAATTTGTATCCCCACGAATTACACGGAATACGAGGATATAATTCAACTGTATTTGTTGAAATATTCTATATTTTTTAATTCGATCTCGAAGATTTTTATGACATTTATATTCCTTAAGAAACACCATCTAAAAAGTACGAGGGAAAATTCAAAGTGAGCAGGATATATTTTCTCCAATGAATAAATTTGTTTCTGTTGCAATATGTGCGCACAAAAAAATTCCTTTTCCATCAAAATGTTTTTGTCACTAGTAATATGAGAGGAATCAGTTGAAAGGAAATGATTACAGTTATTAACAAGTAATATAAAAAAAAAATTAAGTCAATTCTTACTTTGAATGGATGAATAGAAAGTATTTTATTAAAGAATGAAAATGTGAACGATATCTATATATATATGAGAAAGTGAACTAATAGTAGGGATTGAAAAAAGAGCATGAGATTTGTCTGCATTGTTGTAACAATGCACACCCGGTTTGGCTAGTTTGGCTGAAAAATCGGTTTTCAACGCCAACTTCTGTTATTGTTTTAACAGTTACATTGTTACAACTATAGAGACGAACCTAAGTTGGCGTCAAAAACCAGTAATTAATTTAATTTAATTTAATTAATGAATTAATATTTGAAAAAACTGTATTAACACCAAGTGTCATCCACTACGTTTAAAAAATATTATTTGAGCTTGACTGGATGAATAGAAATTACTTTATTAACGATTGAAAATTTAAACAAGATAAATATATATAGAAAGAGAGTGAGCTAATAGTAGGAATTGAAAAAAAAAACCCATTATTATAACGGTAGTATTTTAGTTTTCCCGAATTAGAAACGTGTGAACTTTCAGCTGTTCAAATTTCTTCATGGAGTTGTTTTCGGATTTAAGCGATTTGATTTCAAACATTAAAAATGTCTAAAAGAAATAAATGAAAATAGGATTAAAAAAATCAGTGCGTGAATATAGTATGACAAAATTTACCGATTTTCAAAAATTATAATTATTTTCATAAAAAATACTACCCTCTCAGGAATTTTGCTTGCAATATACATATAGGATAAATAAAATACAATCAAGTCTGTACTATATTTCTTTTACTTGCTGTGATATGAGGTACAGAGTTATTTAATTCATATTTTACCAGTTTTCTATCAACTAAAAGAAGAGGATTCGAAAAACTATCCTATTAAATTTTCTTGATCTGTTAAATCTAACAAAAAATTCTGTTATAATTACAATTATATCCCAGGAAAAAAATTTATTTGACAGGGGGGAAAATAATTATATTCACTCAGACGAGAACAAAATTCCTAAAATTCATAAATACAATTGCTTACCTGAGCTAGTTATCTGCATACTTGGTTCCAACCATTGTATGAGAAAATTCATCTCAGCGTAAGGTATCCGACTACGTTCGGAACCGTGATTTTAAAAAGGCGCATAAATGGATAATTTTCATGATATTTAGTGTCACTTAGATTAGAGAATACATGTATATAATTGTTTTAAGGACATTTTGACAAAAAAAAATATATGTATTTATTTAAATACAATATTTAGGCAAAAAAATTAACTTAGAATAACCTTTTTTCTAAATGTTTTCCTTTTGTGAAAAATGCTTCCATTATAATAATATTTTGCCTGTATATAGCTAGACCTCTGTACAGAGGCTCAACTATGAGTTTTGAAAAATTCACATTATTTTCAGAGTTACCACCAATTGAAATATAATTATTGGCGTTTTTTTCTTAAAATTGCTCCCCTCTGTTGTCGTAAAATATGGATAAGCCCACTTCTAAGTAATATATTTCAAAAATTCTAGTTGAGCCTCTGTAGAGAGGTCTGAGCTATATACAGACAAAATATTATTATAATAGAAGCATTTTTCACAGAAAAAGAACATTTTGAAAAAAGATTATTCTGTTAATTTTTAGCCAAATTATTGTATTTAAATAATTTTTTTTTGTCAAAATGTGTGTGTCCTTAAAAATTTTTATACATACATTCTAATCTAAGTGACACTAAATATCATAAATATTATCCATTTATACACTTTTGCAAAATCACGGTTCCGAACGTAGTCGATACCTTAAGAAGAAAACTGTTAATATTTTCTGCTCGATGGAACTAGAGCTTATAATCATTTTATATGAAATCATTTTTATTTATTCAAAATTAATGGATAATAAGCGTCATTAAACAATAAGCACTTTACCCTCATCACGAACACTAACTTCTAATCAACAGGTCAGAACAGAATTCAAAATAAAACACGATATTCGAAACTAAATAAAATATTTTTTGTTGCCATTCACACAAATTTTTTTTTAAAAAAAATAATACAGTTGATACATTTGGATAAATATAGTCTGCTTCATTTTAAAAAATATCGTTCATTTAATTCCAATTATGAACATCACAATAACGTCTGCATCGTATAAAATGAATGTAAAACTAAATGAATTTTTATAAATGCCAATATTTATTCGTAGTACTTTATGCTATCCTAAATGAATTTACGAAGAAAAAAAACTGATTTGTGTGACTCAATAATATTGGAATGTCTCATTAATGAATTAAGTATACTTTCTTATTGATTAAAACTAAAATTATTGAAATAGTCGAAATAAATAAATTTAATTGCAAATTTCAAATAAGTATTTGGAGCTTTAAAGGAAAAATGGATAAAAATATAGCAAAAAAATAATTTATTTTAATTGAAATAAATGGATAAACATCTCCAAAGATATGTTTGAAGTACTCACTGAATTTTGTGGAACAATTTTTCATATATATATTTTTAGATAAATATTGCACTGCAGCCGATAGAATTGCTATCGGTGAAGAACTTCGTAATTTTCAATTAGAACACGAGAATGATAATGCTGCCTCACTCAATTTAGTTAAGCTTTCATATCACTCCATATTATGATATTGATAATTTATTGAATGAAAAAAGGCAAATTCACTTATGTTAATATTTCTGTTATCATTTCACAATTAGTTTTGGTTGATCTTTTTTCTTTTTAATTTTCTTATTTGCATGCAGGAATCAATTTTTCCAATGGACAAATCGTAGAATGTCCCAGATTTGAGCAGCAGGTCGAATGCGCCGAACCTTGCAACACGTGTCATGGAATAGAGTGCGAACCAGTTTGCATACCAGGATATGTAAGTTGTGATTGCATTCCAGGGTATACAAGAAACCATCAAGGAAAGTGCATTCCTAAGAGAGAGTGTAGAGGTAAGCAAAAAACAGTTTTGTTCCCTGTTAAAAGTGATTTAAATATTAAGTGGTACTATGCATGTTATGACCAAGGTTCGAAGTTCGCCCATTTCACGTACTGGACGACCGGTGTGACCTATTTTACAAATGTCTATTCTGTTTCTCTATTTTGGCCGGACATTTTGCAAAGTTGCCTTAGATACTTGCCAAAATTCTGCATGTTTATGAAATACGATATGGCAGGCGGCATAAATATCGTTTTTGACATACTCGTGATAGCAAAAGGCAAAATATATTGCAACTGTTGCCACTTTAAAACGTGTTAAATTTCTTGTTACCCGTCGAAGCTTATAAGCAATGATAAATGATGATAAGACAAAACATACAAGCAAACATTTTA